ATCATAGAATAATTAGTGTTAATGAAGGAAATGTTTGATATCCATTCCAAACAAACATAGAAATTAAGAAATACACTTATATGGAGATTTAAAAGAGAGGTTGAGTGGGAATTGTAAGGGGATAGAGAGGGTGTTATGAAAATATGAAGGCAAAACAATGAGCCTCTCAAGTTCTTGAACCATGAAGAGGAAAAGAATATAGCTAAAAATAAACAGGCACAAAATTAACTTTCCCTTCCCACATTGAAAAAGAATAACGAAAATCCTATAAGTCTATTCCTTTTCTACGGTTGAAGAAAAGAATTAACTTTGAAAGTTGCATAACAATGATTTTGCAATTGTGAAGGAGAGATGCATATACAATACCTCTTGTTATGATATATAAAATACTAGAATCATGGGTTAATGATTAAAGTGACTTATCAAGAAAAAACAGTAATTGCTTTTTCCCTTCCTCAAAGAAAAAACAAAAACATTTGTTTTTCCTCCATTTAAAGTATGAAATTGTTTAACTATGTGATGAGAACATTAAAAGAAAATTTCTTTTAATGACTTTGCTTTTTTTTTTTTTGCCTCGAATCAATAATTCAAGATTCACTATCTTTTTTACTCGAGGATGAACAATTTTCTTGTCCTTTAAAAAAATCTTAAAAATTTTAAAAAAGTTATTTTACATTTTTTTATTTCTCCTAACATTGAAATAATTTATTGGTTCAAAAATTTTGTTTATAAATTGATTGACCAATCCATGAATGTCATTAGATTCAATAGTTGGCTTACATGAGTTGCTCCAAAAAGCATTACTCCATAAATGACTAGTAGATCTCATTAAATTCATACAAATATATTATTATGATGTCATAAAAATAGAGAGACAAGTAACATCGAAAATAACTATTTGACATAAATGAAAAAAAAAAAAAAAACACCACCATATATTTTGTATAAAATAAGTCAAAACCTTCAACTAATTAAGACAACAGCCTCCAATATTACAATTAATTTTCTTTTATTGTCATTTCAAACTTTAATTAAATCCAATATTGCTAACTAAGGCTGCAGGCGCTACTCTTGGTCATGCAAGATACAATTAAAAATTAAGATTAAATATAAAAATAATCTGTGTTACATATTTATTTGTCAGTTAATACTTAAAAAAATAAAATTATCAATTGGTATTTAAATTTTCATTTCATTATCTGTTTCTTCGAACCAATGTCGTTAATCAATTTGTTAACTTGATATAAATAATTAATAAAATACTGATACGTGTCAAAAAAATTTAAACAATATTGCATTATTAATTATCACATCAACATTAACAGAAAATTCAAAAATTTAAAAAAATTTATAAAAGTTCTAAAAATTTAAAAGATATAAAAATTAAAAATATGAAATAGTTTTAGAAATTATAAAAATTAAAAATTTATTAAATTTAACAAATTCAAAATAATCTCAAATTTTAATAAAAAATCCAAGAAAATTGAAAATTTTTTAAAAAATAAAAATTTTAAAAATTCAGTAAAATTAAAAAATTCACAAAAGCATAAAAAATTGAAAATAAAAGAAATCTATTTTTTTAAATAAAAAATTTATAAAAAATTCTTAAAAATTTTAAAAATTTTGGAAAAATCAAAAATAAAAATCCTAAAAATTTAAATAAACATTTTAAAATAATTCTAAAATATATGAAAATTAAAATTGTAACATTCAGAAAAAAGAAAAAAAATTTTACAATTTTGTAAAAATTTTAAGATTTTTTAAAAAAATTTTAGATTTTTATTATTTTCAATTTTTTAAGTTTTTGTGATTTTTGTTAATTTTAAGAAAATTTTATTCTTATTAAAGTTTTCATTTTTTTTTGAAAATTTCAAACTTTTTTAATTTTTTCAATTTTTTTTTTAAATTTTTAGATTTTTTGAATTTTTAAGTTTTCATATTTTTAAAAATTTTCAGTTTTAAAATTTTTTATAATTTTAAAATAATTCATATTTTTTAAATTTATTTTTTAGGAATTTTTTAGAAATTTTTATAATTTTTTTCAATGTTAATGTGACAATTGATGATATGATGCTAACTATATTTTTGACACGTATTAGCATCTTATTTGATATTCATGCTACGTAATCAAGTTTTTAATAGTGTTAATCTTAGGTACGAAAGTGGATGACGAAATGAAAGCTAGAGCACCAAATTGAAAATTTTATATTTTTACATATAGAATTGAAAGAAAGTATATAGTTTAGAGAACATTTTTATAGTTAACCCTAAAAATAAAGTTGATAAAAGTCCTTGCTGAAAATCTTTGCCATTTGACTCTGTTTAAACATTGAACTGCCCTGGGCAGGTTTCTTATGCCGCTCCTCGTTCAAATATAAATTTCTGGAATAGCTTACATTGCCATACTGGCATGGCTTTATAATTAAGTTGAAAATCATGGCTTTCGTGCAAACTTATTTAACGGAATTCCACCTTCAGAATTATCATTGTAGATTTTGTGTGTACCTTGCAGGGGAAGGCAGTGTCTGCAAAATAGTCATCTTTTGAAACAGCAGTTGTCGACACAGAAGCACTTTGGAGGGAAGTTTTGGAGGTTAGGGTCCTGAGGGAACAGATAATGTTCTGGGATCTATTTCCATATCTGACAAGGAACTCTGCAGCCCGGAACATTTGGGATAGAAATTACAGTCTAGCAACCTCCATTTCCTCCTCGATGCTCATCAATTGACTGAAGCAACAAAGGAAAAATATGCAGCAATTTCAAAGAATTTGTATACTATAAGAGAGGAGAAACAGAAAGTACCTAACATGTCTACAGGAATGAAAAGGAAGCAAGCCAAGATGATTCAAATCAATGGTAAACATCACTGTCACAATACCGTAACATATAAGAGTAAAATAAAATATCACCATTTTAAGTTCACTTATATGAATCCTTGGTTTTGTAAGTTTTTCTGCTTTAGACCCAGCCCGCTACGAGAAGAGAAGTCCAAGAAAGAATTCATGCTACAGGTGCTGATAGCTGTGGACTATTGTAGAATCAGTATTCTATTCTTAACATGAATAAGACCAGTGAAGGAACCATAGCCCCATCAGATAATTCCCCCACACAAAACTGTAAAACATAAAAAGGTACACTCAGCCCTCTATGAGAAAAGCATTTTACATAACCAACTTCTTCTATCCCCATCATTTTAAGAGTCCAATGTGTATATTTCTTATTCCACTCTCTCGTTCAGTGAAATTGATCATATTTCCAAGCTTTTGCAACCAGGCACAGCATGCAACCCATTGAAAAAGAGTAATAAAAAGAAGAAAAGATACCAAATAACATAAAACAAAAGGGTGTCATAACATTGCAAACATAGTTTAAGAATTGGATAAAGTTAAAAACAACAGAACCCAGTTTGGGAAGCAAAGTTCAATACTTGAAATGACACTTTCCAGGTAAAGCACTTAACTTTATCCATTAAAAGCTAATACCCATTATTGAATTCATCACTTTTAAGTTTTAACCCATATATATAACTTTCAATATCAAAGAAGGGATTGAAAATCTAATAGAAAATGGAACAGGAGCTTAAAGGAAAGAACTTTGAATAACTCATTAATGTTGCAAGCTTGCAGATTGGAAGATAAAATAGTAAAGAAGGAAAAGGCATGGAGAGAATGAAAATAAATGAAAAAAAAGAACACACCTTTTAACTTCACAAATAAAATTAAAATGATAATATACATCTCATTTTTTTAAATTAATTTTTTTATATTTTAAATATATGCTAAAAGACGTGTTATTATTTTAATTTTGCTTATAAAATTAAAAACTTTACTATTAGTTTATTTGATAATTTCTTTTATTTTTAATCCTAAACAAAACAAACACCCTGTTAAAATCATGGAAATTTAACATATATAAAGTCCTATATTTGTTTATATGTAATTATTATTATTTTTTTTGCGTTTTTGGAGATAATGAAATGATAATAAATCTAATGACGATATTAACAATGAAAATTCAAAATTTCCCTCAATAAAATGCAATTTTTTTATTTTTTTATGTCCTAAAGCAGACAGGTTTGGACGGGAGTATTCTAGAAACAAAATTATATGGTAGTAAGGTAATTAAAATGAATTTTAATATTATAGGATCAAATTTGTATACTAAGAATTTTTTTTTTCTATGTGTGACAAGAGAAGAATCATGTATGTAGCCGAGTTAACTTAGGAAAGACAATTTTCGACTAACATGACCATCACAGGGCATAAATTAAGTTTCTTATCACATAGTGACATTAACGAAATGTCAAACAAAATGCAATAAACAAGAAGAAGAACCCAAAAGGAAAAAAAGGACACAAGGGGAATCAAATTGTGCAAGCAAAAAAAAAAAGTAGTTAATTAAAGAATTGTTGAGTGAAAACGACTTCAAACTTTATAAACCCTAAATTGCAGCTTGCAAGAGTATTCAATGAGAATGCTTTTATCGGAAAAATTTAATCATAAAACATATTTTTCGACAAGAATATTCTCACTAGACTTAATCATAGTAAGTTTTAATATCACCATCAACAACAGTACAAGGCCAACGAGTATGATTCTTTAGTTACATTCCCGTCATTATTTGACTAATAAACATAACTATTATATCCAATTTTTCATAACAAAATACAAAGTAATTGTTTGAACCATTGACAAGATTGTTGACAGCCTAACAAAAATACTAATTGATTGCTCCTCTTTGTAAAAGATTTTTTGATAATATAGATTGCAATAAGCAGTTGAATCTCAATTTGTTCAAATTAACTTCAACACAAAGTCAGACAAATCAAGACCCTGGTTTGTTTATGGTCCCATTCTTTTCATGATTTAACTTTACCGTATATCCTCTTTAATAATATGATGAAAATAGACAGAATTGCACACTGCATTATGAACTGTAACGGGGACATGGAAAAATCATTTCAAACGAAGCAACTAAGGGGTAACTTCGTGTTATTCAATCAGAACTGTGTCTGAAGATATTCCACCACTTTCTTTTCCAGTTTGAAGGCTTTGGTAAGAACATCAGGATTGATAGGTGGGTTAGAGCCAAAGACTGCATTTGCAATAGTGATAACACCAGGATTTTGGCTGCTGAGAGCAGCGAAAGCGATGGCATCAGTTTTCCCTATATTTAACTGGAAGTGAATGAGACCAACTGGGAAAACAAACACATCCCCTGTCTTCAGGACTTTGGTGAAGAAACGATTATCTGGGTTGGATGTCACAAAGCCAACATAAAGTTCACCCTTTATCACAACTAGGATCTCCGTGCCACGAGGGTGATAGTGAGGAGGGTTTAGTCCACCATAAGGTGCATAATCAATTCGAACCAGGGATATGCCAAGTGTGTTAAGTCCGGGTATTTGGTCAGCATTGACAGGAGTGACTTTTGATCCCACTGCATTTGATGTGTTTCCTGCTTTATCAAGCCCTGAAAAGAAGAAGTCATCTGCTGTGGCAAGCTTTGGGTCCTTGCAGAACTTCCCATTTACAAATACTGGATTAAAAGAAAATGACGTTAGTTACTATAAATACAGTTTTCATTGTGTGGTTAGTATGATGAAAAACATTTCTTCTTAGCTGAATGCCTTTACTCCAGGCTTTGGCATAATAAACAACAACATGAACTGAATGCATACCGGCATTCTTGGGGCCATTGAGGGCTACGCAGAAATCCATGAGAGAGCTAGGGTCAGAGGCTGAGGCTAATGTGGAAGCCAAAGCCAGGAAAGCAAAAACTACGAGGAAATGGTTCACTCCTTTCATTTCGGATCGCTTTGCTCTATACTTCTAGTACTTATTTGCTATTTGCTCGAGGAGGGGATGAGGAATTTTACTTGGCATACAAGGACTATTTATAGATGAATATGCAGTACAGTTATCCTTATTTTCTCTACTTGAAGATGGTGCAGACTTGGTATGCCTCGATAGCTATCGAGATTTTCTTTTAATGCCTGTTTTGTTTCTTTATGCTATGTTCACCAAGAATATTTCAGCTAGAGGTATATGTGACTTATTTTATCCAGACATTTATTTTTCATGAAATTCTTCCATTATGGATTCTGATTGGGGTAATTGGGATTTCTTTTGTCCAAAACTAACATGAAAGGCCCGCTCCAATGGAAAGCAGTAGGTGAAGAAGACAAACAGGAACAAGTTGATCCCAAAAAACAAAAATGAAACCAACAAGAGAAAGACCATCAAAATAGTCAAATGAAGACTACAACAGGAAAGCAAGAACCAATGACAGAAGACCCAAGAATTTAGGCCCCAATTCTGATAAATAGCTCGTACTAGAGGCTTATCAGCAACTTTCAATTAGTAAATAAAATTCTCTACATCAGGACAACAAAGCTTCATCTTGATACTTCTATCGTTCGTTGGATTTATTTTGTTCAAAATTTGATAAGCAAGTCAGCAGAGGAAATATTCCTGCCATTCAAGTTTTAAGTACAAAATGTTTACTGAATAGTAGAAGCATTTAGAACGTTAGCCCGTCTTGCTTTGAAACTAAAAGGAATGGTTTATTTGAAAAATTGGTCACTTGATACATGTAGAACTTGTGCTAGAAGCAAAAGTATATGCACTGTTGAGAAAAATCAAAGCTACAGTTTTTTCCCCTCCTGGATGGCATACAGTAGTTGAAAATAGCAGTTGGCTCAGTAATGGTTCTTCCCACATAACTAGATGAACATTCAATCATCATACACAATATTAGTCCCTTAATCATTAGGGTCAGTTGGGACATCCTATAGTTAATGAACTAAGTAGGAAAGAAAATTGTTCAAAGATGTGGCAATAGAGCTAGCCGGCTAACTTGTATTGTATAATCAAGAGAAAATAAAGATGAAGAGTGGTTAAAATATTGGTAGGTGATGATGACATTGAACCTTGAATAAAAAAACATAATGCTGAACAAATTGCAACATCCAACACTAATGTCCATAGCCGACAATATTCCAAAATTTCTATTTTAATAACCCAAATCATGCTGTGTAGTCTTCCATTATTCTTAGACTTATCATAGCTTTTGTTTTAAGGAATGATCACTAGTCATTGTTTTATACAAATTTGATTTTTATTTTTTTATGTATTAGATATCCTATGAAATAAATTTTCAGTCAGTTATGGCAGTTTCTATTTTACACAGGTTCTTATTGGTCAAATTTATATTACTATTTTACTAGTAAAATATAATTCAAAATGGATTTCCTATATATATATATTTGAGTAAAAAAAAGGGCATTATTCTTAAATTCAAAGACATAATGCTCACTTGTTCATGACAGTAATTTTTTTTTTCAGTCATTATCATGATGGATAGAACGTTTCGATCAGACTTCGAAACTGTTCAGTGCAGAATGTATCATAAAAGTTTACGGAAGGTTCTGTCGGTTGCCAAGTATAAATCTACTGAAACCATGTATACAGGAAAGGTTGTGTCAACCGTCAAATAAAAAAAAAAGAGTCATTTGTTAACGATTGCTGTTTGTTATTGAAATGGTTTTTTATCATTTTGCAATAGTTATTTGGTGACAATATCAGTAGTAACTGCCCTCAAGAAAGGCCCTGAACTTGAAGCTGGGTAGATGGTTAATGACAAAATACTTGCTGCAGCAATGCCATGAGACTCACAGAAAGGTCAAGGTCCAGAATGTTTTCAGGTCCCTATGAAGATCAGTTGATTGACTCTTTAACAATATTCCATGCATTATTTGTAATCTTTTGGTTGGGGGTTTTTCGGTTTTCAACTTTCTGAAACTATGATCAGATGTCTCTCTAAATCTTCTCAGCGGCACTAGATCTTTGGCTTCTTATTAACAAATTCAGTGTGTTCTGGATTCTGGCAATTAAGTTTGGAACTTTCCAAGATCTAAATTAAAGTATTCTCAGAAAGGGTGCTTTCAATGAGATCTAGATAAAGGTTGACATTAGCTCCTAATTTGGAGCAAACTGTAATAACTTAATATATCCAAAATCAACATACAATTGGAGGATTACATCAGCAGAGATACATAAGTAACATTTTTATTTTTTATTTTATTTTACTTCAACAATAATTACTAAATAAATGATGGAAACATGTCAAAAATTGTTCAAAAAAGTAACTGTTCCATGGACGTTGAAAATTGGTCTAATTGTTATCCCACCAGAATTTTGACTGAAGATATTTCACCACATTCTTGTCCAGCTGGAAGGCTTTGGCAAGAACATCAGGATTGATTGGTGGGTTTGAACCAAAGACTGCATTTGCAATGGTGATAACTCCTGGATTTTGGCTGCTGAGACCAGCAAAGGCAATGGCATTAGTGTTCCCTATATTGAATTGGAAATGAATGAGACCAACTGGAAAGACAAAAACATCTCCTGGGTATAAGACTTTGGTGATGAGACGGTTATCTGGGTTGGATGTAACAAAGCCGACATAGAGTGTGCCTTCTAGGACAACTAGGATCTCCGTGGCACGGGGATGAGTGTGAGGGGGGTTTAGCCCACCATAAGGTGCAAAGTCAATTCTTGCCAAAGATATGCCAAGAGTGTTGAGTCCTGCAACTTGTTCCACATTAACAGGAGTGACTTTTGATCCCAGTTGATTTGATGTGTTTCCCGGCATGTTCAGCCCTGAAAAGAAGAAGTCTTCTGCTTTGGCAAGCTTTGGGTCCTTGCAGAACTTCCCATTTACAAATACTGCATGAAAGAAAAAAATGTTACTTGATACCATGCCATGCAGAAAGAAAAGATTCTCTGTAGTTAAGTATGTTTCTGGAGAATATAGAAACACTGCATCCTTGCTGAATGTCTTAGTTCAGGCATCTATATCTATGCACCCAACTTATAAATACAAATCAAAATAGAGAAATTAAGGGAAAACATACCAGCATTCTTTGTGTCATTGAGAGCTACACAAAAGTCCTGAAGAGGGCTGGGGTCAGAGGCACAGGCAAATGAGGAAGCCAGAGCCAAGAAGAGAAAAGCTACAAGGAAATGAACACCTTTCATTGTAGCTAGGCTGGTTTCAGGCTTGATTTCTTAGTTTCTTGCTTGGGTAGGATGAGTAATCGCTCTTGAAAGCATGCCTATTTATAGGTTTGAGTCTTTGAACAAGTATTTACCTGTTTCTCATGGACTTACCAAGTCAGCAGCGACTTGGTTTTTGTTTCTCAATAAAATTTGAGGATGAATTATTCTTCAGCCACCATGCAAGTATATCAATTTTGAATCCCCATTTCCAATGCTTACATCACTACATTTTGACGTGGAAGTGGTCTTCTTGTGCATTCCAAATGTTTTCCTTGTTTCTGAACTGGGGTATTGAATTAACTGAGGTACTCCATTGACTTTAGCATAAATTGATAGTTGCTGCAGGCTGCCAGCACTTCATCCAATTTAACTTGCAATTCAATTGAAGTTGACAGTTTCCCTTACAGAAACTTCTTTCTTAATTTTCATAGTATTTAAATTAAACATGCTGGCATTGCAGATGAGGCAGATGATACATGTAACTAGTCCATTGCACTTAACTGCAATTTACGCTACAAATTTTTGACGATTCAATCAATCACTTCTGTTGAGCAGCTCTGATAAAACTAATATGCTTGATTCTTTATTCAGAAAAAGAAAAATGTACTAAAACCAATATTATGGGTTTTTTTTTTTTTTTTGTTTCTTCTTCTTTTCCCACTTCACCATTGTCACCATTTGCGAGGGGTAGCAAACTTCAACTGGCCTCAATTAATTCAAATAGATTGTAAGACTGAATTAGTAGTAATGAAAAGAAATGAAAGTACTGCAAGGAAATTTAATAACCAGCAAGGCAGATTCTATGAATAGTTTTTGTTCTTAGTTGACCAGGTCTATTTTAACATGTTCCTTGATACTCAATCATATGACATCTATGCTTATCACATTCAAAACATTATTAATTTCATGCAAGTTCAATTACTAAACCATATAACTAAATTATCATTAATTTATAAATAAATTATCAATGAATTAAAACTAAATTATCAATGTTTTACTATTACATTATTAGTGATTTACTATTAAGTTATTGATAATTTACTACTAAATTATTAGTGATTTATTACTATGCTGTTATGCATTTGTCACTTTGTTATCATCGATTTATTACTGAGTTCTAGTGATTTGCTATTAAATTATCATTGATTTATCGTTAAGTTATTTATGATTTACTATTAAAATTATAATTTAATTACAATTAAACTAAAATAAATTTACTATTATGCTATCACTAATTTACTACTAATTTTCATTGATTTACTACTAAATTATCAATGATTAACTATTAAGTTATCTTTTTTTATGAAGTTATTATTAATTTACAACTATGTTATTATGCATTTACAGTTACGTTATAATTGATTTATTATTAAGTTATTATGCTTTGACTATTATATTATTACTAATTTACTATTAAATTATAATTGATATACTATTAAGTTATATCTCTTATTTATTATACTAAATTATTATTAATTAACTATTAATTTACTAATAATTATATTAAGTTATATTGATTTACTTTTAATTTCCAATTATTAATTACTACTTAGTTATAAATTATTTACTATTAAATTATCATTGATTTATTACTAAACTATTTATGATTTATTACTAAATTTGTCAATTAATTACTACTCCCTTTATTTGTCCCAATTAAATTGTCACAATTGATTTGTTTTTGTTAAATTTTTCTAACTTTGACATCTATCATTTTAAATATTTTAATAAATTTAATTTTACAAATATAAATTAGAAACCCCTCCTTTAAAGGTTTTAAAATATAGTTTTTTCATAATTTATCAAATAATAATAAAAATAAATAGGTAATTAAAATTGAACAAAAATTGACCAACCAAAATAAAAATGTGACAATTTTATTGAGATGGAAGGAGTATTAAACTCAATTTTATTTGCTGATTAAAGTTATCATTAATTTATTTTTAAGTTATCAATAATTAACTACTAAGTTATCACTATTTTTTATAGGTTATCCTTAATTACTAATATATGTTATACATTTACAATATATATAAATGATTTATGTTAAGTATTTGTTATTTTCTTATATGTTATTATGTATTTATTATTATGTTATCATACACTATTAAGTTATATTATTTTTACTATTAAGTTATTCATAATTTACTATACAGTATCATTAATTTAGTATAAAGTTATTATTGATTTTGTCTAAATTATCATTAATTTATAACAAAATTATCAATAATTTGCTACTATATTATTATACATTTACTATTAAGTTATAATTAATTTATCATTAAATCTTCTATAATTAATTTAATTGTGTAAATCATATTAATAGGTGTAATATATTATAAACACTAAATTATTCATTTGTAGAAAATTATTTTAAACCTTCTAGCCATATTGCTTGCGTTCACTGGGGCATGAATAACTTAACCAAAGAAAAACTATTTTAATAAGAAAATAAATAAAAAGTAGATAATATTTTAATTTACTAAAAAATATTAAATAAAAATGAATAGAGAGAATTTAATAAATTACCACATTTTATATATGTTATAGATATATATTAAACATTTTCTTAATTATAGAATGTCTTATTCAAGGTAGGCTATAAAATCTAAAGTATATATATGTTTGTGAGTATTCTAAATATTTAGCTAAAATTTAATTAAATTTTTTTATAGTAAAGTTGGCAAAATTTCAAGTGGAGCACTTTTTACACATTAAGAGAAAAAAAAAATTAAAGGTCATGTTATCATTTGTCATCCAACACCTTTATTTTTTTAAATCATTTTCATATATATTATGATACATTGACTCATTGAGTAATAAAAAGATTAATTTAATAATTTTACAATCTATATGAAATATTAATTAATTAATTTTTTTAATTTATATATATAATTTAACATTATCAATTGAATTAATTTCTGATCTTAATTGTACGATTATATAAATAAACATATTTTATTTCACATCCTCATACTTCAAATTTTTTATTATGTAACTAATGAGTTTAATTGTATGTCTCTCTTTCTTTATGAAATGAAGAACTCGTTGGACATGCATGATTGGCATGTAATGTATTAATAGGAATATACCAAATTAAAAAATCACTTTTAATAATATTTATAGTTCACACTTTTATATGTATATATCATAGATGATACATGTATTTATCTATAATAAATATACTCATAAAGTACAAATAATTATTAAATAGATGCTTTCATGATAAGAGTACAAATTAATAATCATATACTTAAAGAATATAAATAAATAACAGAAATAAACTATAACATTATTGATTCAAAGAATATAATAATTGGTTATAAAACTAACAAAGCTTTGATCATTCAACAAAACGCACACAATTAATCACATGATTAAAATATTTTTCAGTATCAAAATACAAAAATATTCTAGAGCATTCTTAATTGAAAAAATAAATTAATATTATTCAAGGAAAATTTATAAAATATATTTATAGTAGAGTTTTTAAATTTCACAATTGAAATTAGTAGTGTAACACACATACGTTTTAAACTTCAGAGTATATTAAAAAATGCTATTTGAAAAAATAAGTGAGTGATATTAAAAAAAAAAAAACCCTAATTTAAAATGTGAGTGAGTGATGTGTTAATTTTTTAACTCACTTATGGAATTAAAAAAAAAACTCAACTAATATTATATCAAATAATTTCTCTTCTTCAAGATTAATGTTTCTTAACAATATTGACTATGGTTTTATAAAAATATCTTAAATACAAAATATTTTTAATTAAAAATAAAAAAATAAGGATTGACTGAAATTAAATTGGATGTAATATAGAATCAATCTATAGAAGACAAAATAAAATCTAAGTTTAGTAACAATTCACATATACGGGAGATTATGTTCATAAAGCAAAGATTTATTTAGGCATTGTAACGTTGAAACGTGATTGTATAAAGTGATTAGAAATATTATAGTAAAATAAATCAACCATTACAATCATTAAACATATAAATGTATATTTATCATAAAAAATTAAAAAATATCAAACATACGAACTTACCACAATACATGTATTACTCTTTTTCAATAATTTTTTGATAATTTAATTAATAATTTTGTATGAACTTTAATTTTAATTGATCTAAATTAAATAAATAAAAAATATAATTATATTTAAGGACTCAGGATATGTATTATTAATGAAGATAAAGAGTAAATTAGGTTGTATTTTGAAAACGAAAAATTATATGTTTTATTTAAGATAAAATTAAATGTTTTTGGGGTGTAAATTTTATGATATAATAATTTAAACTAAAATAATAACAATTGAGCAACAGAGGAAAGATTTTGTCTATGCTTTGTTTAATATTATGGACTCATAGTATGCTATAACCCATAGGATTAGAAATATGTTTTATATGAATTTAACTGAATTATTGCTTATGATATTGAACAAAAATAAATAAATAAATGCTACAAATTTAAAAGGTAAATTTTTTATTTTTTAAAATTCATAAGAGTATTTATGCTATTAATTTTTAACACTTTTGGATTAATTTAAATAATTAAATAATAAATGCTATATTTAATGAAAAATAATCTTTAATATATAAATAAAAAATGCTAGAAATTTAAAGGTAAATTTGTTATTTCTTAAAATTTGTAAGAGTATTTATGTCGTTCATTTTTAATAGTTTTAGAGTTCACATTTTTATATATAGATGATATCATATTAATTAAGAAATTAATTGCTAAAAAAAATGTGGTTGAGGTATTTTATGAGATAACTTTGCATATATGTCATATCAATTGAGAAATTAATTACTAAAAAAAAGTGGTTGATGTATTTTATGAGAGAAAACTTAGCAATTGTGAAACAAAAAAAATTGAGAGTTTTTCTTTCTCATCTTCCTTTGTGTTAGAGAGTATGAAGAATCAAGTTGAGGATCCGGAATCAGAGGCATTTTTTATAGGATAAAATTTAAAGACTTTTGGGTCAAAGCGGATAATATCTCGCAAGTTGAGTGCGGATATTCACAAATTACAAATGGTATCAGTTGGATGAGAATTAAGTGTTTCACTATAAGAGCTCACTTTGGAATCCTATGGGAGTGCTACATGGTATCAATTAGATGAGGGCATTAAGTTTTAACAGGAGAAGTGCTATTGAGTTTCTGAGTGTAGATACTTGTGAGAGTGTTGTACGGTGTGAGCCATCTCTAGAATCTCTAACATTTGGTGTAATCTTAGTTCTATGATGCCGAGTTTCTAAGCGTGTTTTGTGCTGAGCTTGACGAGAGCGTTAAATTTTAATACAAAAAGAACGTTAAATTTTAATGGGAGGTAACAAGAGAAGAATGTTAAAATTTAATGGAAGGGGTTTATGACATTCCACTCTCACATCGAGAGATTTTAATGATCTATTATGGTATACAAATTGATATTTAAATCCAAACTTATAAATCTTTTTTGTAAGATAAAACTATGAGACATTTGAGTCAAGACAGACAATACTTTATAGTTGCAAATCTTCAGAACATGTACAGTTAGATGCCATGAGAAAGAACAGAAATATTTCTCTTGACGTTTATCGGGACTTGTCTCATACCTGAAAGTTCATTCTAGGCTTGTCGTTACTCATGAGTTATTGTAAAATCATTTTATTGTAAAAGCAACATAATTACTAAAATAAAAAAAGCATTAAAGGATCAAGTAACCACCATCTTGATCACCTGGAAGGACCTCACGAAGTAACAGATGAAGTAGATAGATATTATATGATGTAGCAGCAAAGAGAATACATTTGCACTTAATATATCAAGACAGTGACAGATTTGGTGTAGTCTTATACAACGCTGTTCAATATCTAATTCCATCTATAAGCAACTGAGAGAAAGTTCTGCTCCTCAACAACCCTTTTTTACATGTCTTCCAACTTACATTATAATGTGAGGGCTATTTATATTGGACATGATTAAATTCAATCAAAGCCATGCAAACTTATTTAACAGAATTCCACCTTCAGAATTATCATTGTAGCTTTTGTGTGTATCTTGCAGGCGAAGGCAGTGTCTGGAGTATTGAATATGAAATTGACCTAACCCCAAAAATCAGCAAATTCATCTCAAGTCTTTTATGCTGTAATAAACTGATTTGTGAGATTACAATCATAAACAATCAAGTTGTCCAAATCTTCCACCTCTTGGACATTGTTTGGTCACTATTCATGCTTACCTTAGATACCATTGATAATTAACCTCTTATTTTTGTTATATGTTTTGAGACTTGCAAATGAACAAAAGGTTTAATGCTTGAAAGTACTTGATCTGTTTTCTAAAAGCAACATAAATGAAGCAGTTGTGTACAATTTCTTCACATTTGAGTGAGAATTATGTCCTGCTTTGGACCTGGCATACACATATAAGCATACATGTTCGCACAAGAGCAGGAGAGAGAGTGAAAATTGCCACTATATATTCCCAATTTGCACACACAGAATGATCACAAGGAGAGAGGAGACTGGACTCTGGGGAGGTACATTATCAACCAACCTGTTTATTGCCATGATACTAAGAATAATAGTATGACTTTAATGAGGAAAATGTATGGAAACATTATTTTAAAACAAACAACAAACTTATGGGGTTTTATTTTGGCTCTTAAGTAACTTGTTAATCTGACTAGAACCGGGACTGAAGATAGGTAACCACATTCTTGTCCAACTGGAAGGCCTTTGTGAGAACATCCGGATTGATTGGTGGGTTTTGAGCCAAAGACTGCATTAGCCAATAGTGATAACCCCAGCATTTTGGCTCCGAGACCAGCAAAGCAACAGCCTTAGTTTGCCCTATAATTGAACTGGAAGTAATCAACCCAATTGGGAAAACAAAAACATCTCCAGGATTAAGGATTTTAGTGAAGAGACGGTTATCTGGGTTGGATGTAACAAAGCCAACATAAAGTGTGCCCTCGACAACAACTAGGATCTCAGTCTCGAGGGTAATGTGAGGAGGGTTAAGGCCACCATAAGGTGCAAAGTTCAAGTCTTGCCAAAGATATGCCAAGGGTGTTAAGTCCTGTATTTTGGTCAACATTGACAGTGGTTGACATTTGATCAACTAGATTTGATGTGTTTCCTGCTGTTGAGGCCTGAAAAGAAGAAATCATCTGCTTCTGCGAGCTTTGGGTCCTTACAGAACTTCCCATTTACAAACACTGCACGAAAGAAATGTTAGTGATATATATCATCCCATGCAAAAGTAGAGTAACTTTAGTAATGTTATTTATGTTAAAATATTGCTCCCAAGCTGAATGCTTCTTCAGCGCAGGCATTATTAGCATCATGATCATGAAAAAAATCCTGGAAAACATAAACTGAATGCCCACGTGCCACCATTTTCGGTGGTCCTTGAGAGCCACACAAAAGTCCTGGAGAGGATCAGGGGTCAAAGGCTGAGGCTAATGAGCAAGCAAAGCCCAAGAGGGCAAAAGCAACAAGGAAAGAGTTACTTCCTTTCATTATGATATACCAGCAAAATAGCAATGTTTACTCCAAAATTAGCTGGTTGTTTAATATTTCTTCTGTGAAGAGTGAAGAAACTTTGCATGACAGACAGACCTATTTAAGATGGAAACCAATGACCTGGTCACTATTTTTCTTAACTAGCAGGTAAAGACTTTTCAAGAAGAATTATTTTCAAATAATTCCACTCTTTTATCCTTCTTTGTTTTACTCATTCTACGCAGTTATTATATGCTTAAAGAACTGAAAATTGGCCTTGGAAGTAGTCATGATTCAGTCTAAAAACATATATCATATTCCTGACTTTTCACCATCCAAGTTGAATATTGTTAATTATTTAACCGTAAAACATCTTAAAATTGCATATTATTTTCATCTCATCATGCTAATTTCTCAATATAATACTAATTAATGATCATGGAAAGGCTTGTTTCTCTTGGGTGGCGAATTTTTTCTCTACATGTTCACTTATTCTTTATTATTTTGGTGCAACAGGCCAACTAATTTTACATAGAACTTGATCAATTGATGTCCAAAAATATTTTTCACGGAGCACAAATACAATAAATTTATGTTAGGCTTGGAACTTCTGTTTTATCTCTGAAAAATCTCAGTTGAAAAGTCTATTCTGACATGTTCACAGATACTTAAGATATGACATTAATGCTTATTACATTGAAAGCATTGATTTTTTTGTAAGATTACCTTAATCTTGCTTAACTGAAAACGTTTCTTTGATCATTTCCACCGTTTATTAGCATGACCGGAATAGTTTAGAAAAGATTCTGGAAGCAATATAGTCTGAGAATTGTGGATGAATCTGTTGGAACTCTTCTAAATTGAACATAAATATTGAATATTAAACACAGGCTTGAGAACTTGGAAAGGAAACTTCGTTCTTTAAGTGTTCAATGAACTAATCCGCAAAGCACATTGGTAAAAGAAAATCGTCAGATTTCTTGCACTACTTGATCAAAGAAAAATAAAGAAAAGTTGTTAAAAGATTGGTAGGTGACAATATTGACAGTAAGCCACCAACAATCCAGATAAAGCCGACAAATCTTTCCCGTGGCAAGTAAAGGTACATAAGACTGCTACTTCTAAGACCATTTCCTCCCTTTCTTTTAAATGGTCACCAGAAATTGTTTAAGACAAGTTTGGTACTGATATTAGGTTCCTAATATGA